TAAAAAATTAAATTTGTGATGTGTAAAAACCTGCGAAACACCTAAGAAACTGATTTTTAACCTTTTTGCAGATGCTTGTTTCTGGGACAATAAAAATTGTTGCGAAAAAGACAATTTTGAGGGCATACAATTTTAGGTGGGTCAGAGACTACTAGAAGCATCCCTTTCTTCCATGGTAAAATACCTATATTCCAGATAATTTTCTACTTCTATTTTAGGATAACATCTCTGCCTGGATTTTTGAATTTATTCCTGGTCAATGAGTAAAGAAATACTTCTGTGTACACTTTTGGTTATCACATAATGCTTCTACAATTTGGAGAGAGTGAAACTGAAGTGATAGCAGAGAGAATAGTTTCTGGGACTGGCTTGCTTTCTTGAAGTGTATAAACGATGGAAAGTTGGAAGCCTGTTGCTCTTAGGCCACAAGCAAAACAAAACAAAACAAAACAAAAAAACCCCAACCCCCCAAAAAACTCTGGAGAGATGCTGGTACTAAATAGTCCCACTAATTAGTGAAAGGGGATTCAAGGAACTAGAGTTCAGTATGTGATACAAGTAAGAATAGGGGAAAAGAAAAGGAATGCCCAATTTCACTGCTCGAATGAGCAAGGGAACAGACTAGTTTATTTTGCTGAGTGTGAAAAAAGGGATCAATTCTCCAATTGAGAAGTGATATAAATAATGATCATAAATTTGTAATCCTGGGATGGGTACTCATTTAAAATAAAATAATAGTGTAGTACTTGTGAATCGCAGTAAGTCCCACAAATAGTTAAAAAGACAGAACTGCATGAAAGCAGGAACTAATGGTTCTGACAACTAGCATGGTCACAGCCCAGAACAAAGTAGGTTTAATATGTTTGCTGAATGAATAAATAGAGTAGAAGAAACACGATTTTGTTCATATATTTAAGTACTTATTCTGACAGACATAAAATGTCTTTTTGACTAATTTCCTTTAACGGCAAATCCTACTTCTGGATTTAATACAGTCCTTGTATTAAATTGGATGTAATGCAGTCCAGAAACCGTACTGCAAAGCATAATACTGAAAGTACATATAAGCAGGCTTCAAAACTTCATGGAAAATTTAATTAAGGAAAGATTTCCATGAATGTTCTGAAGCCCCTCATATATTCAATAGTTTGAAATCATAAGTTACTTTGTGAAAAATAGTCAGAGAATGCCTAACACCATCAAGAAGTACAAGTCTTCACTAAGCCATGCAGTTTAAATGAGAAGGAAATATAGGGTAGTAGAAACTATACTGTGGTTGAAGAATGCAGCCGCTTGGGTTGTGGACTTGGTTCAAACCACATTATAGCTTTTAATTTTCCAATGTGTAAAGTAAGAATGGTGGATGAGTTTCCCTAATTTATTTTTAATAGCACAATCCACTATATACATCTACTTCCCAAACGTTCTCGAGAGAGATTTTAATATATACAATAGGCACAGCTGAATTACTTAGCACGAAACTGGCCTTACTAGTTCACCATTCTTAACCAAGCCCACTGTTATGCTGAGGCCCATCACTGGAGCTTACAGGGCTTTCCCGAAACAGTGTGAAAACACGCAAGATTAGAATATTTCAGTATGCTTTCCACTCTGACATTCTATAGCTGTACAAATCTATCGATGATCACATGCAAATGCTCAAAAGTAAAGGCAATTTCAACCTGGCAACGTTGAACTACCCTACATTATTGTACACAAATACTACAAAAACAACAAATGGTTTCAATACAGCTATTACACATTCTTACTTTCTATGGAGCCCTGATTGCATCGTGGTTACATGTTGGGCTAACTGCAAGGTCAGCAGTTCAAATCCACCAGCCATTCTGTGGGCGAAAGAAGGGGCTTTCTGCTCCTATAAAGAGTTACAGTCTCAGGACTTCACAGGGGCCGTACTACCTTGTCCTATAGGGTTGCTATGAGTCGACATCGACTTGATGGCAGTCTTTTTTTTTTTTTTTAGGAGCCCTAGTGGTGCTGTAAATTAGACACTGGGTAGGTGGTTCAATCCCACAGACTGCTCTGCAGCAGAGAGATGAGGCAATCTGCTCCTCTCAAGCTTTTAGTGTCTTGGAAATCCTCTGCTGCAATTCTATTCTGCCCTCTAGGAGCGCTATGTGTGAGAGTGTGCCTGCCAGAAGTTAGTTTGTTTACTTATTTATTCATTCATAATTCCTGGGTTAATGCGCTCTTATGGCTAGTTAATAGATAGGTTTGCTCCTTGCTTGTTGACTGTTATATTTTTCAGAGGCGGTGTCAAACTTTTCTGGCCTTTCTCAAATGCCTAACTTCATTTCTACTCTTAGAGTAGATAACTTGAAGGTTTTCTTTTTAGTAGAGCACAAAGCAGACTCTTTTCATTTTCTTCTTTTTTATTTCAAATACCTTTCACTTTCCTTCTAATCCTTTCTATTTTTGCCATGGCAGAGCAAGAAATGTTCCTTGTCTTTCTCCCAACAAAACTCCTATTTGTAGTTTCATTTCTTTTCAACTCCTTTGCAGGATGCTCCATTGGCTGGAACTACTTTTGCTTATATAGTTCATTTATCCTTTTTAATGGATCCTTCCTCACTGCAAATGTATAAAAGTCTCTCCTAGTTTCTAAAATCAACACGCTGATTCTATTTGTTTGTCAAAAGTATAGCATTTTGGCTGGCTTCATTCACTACTCATTCACACTTTCTTTTATTTATTTATTTTTTAAAAATTCAGTGCCTACTATATGGTGGACATTGTGGGAGGCCTTGCAATTTCAGTGGTAAACACTACAGGCACAATCCTGTCCTAATGAGTTTTATCTCATATCTTTACTGTTTAAAATCTGGCTCCTGCCTCCACCCCAATTAAAAGCATTTGTTACTGACATCAGTGACGTGTCATCTTCTTCCATTTCACGCAGATGCTGAAATCAGGACAAAATCCAAGTTACTCAAAGTGCTTTGCCAATGCTCGGTGTGCTCTCAGAAACAGCCCAGAGGTGCTGCAAGAGCCAAAAATACTTTTCCAGGCAAAGACAGATAACAATCAAGATGAACACCTAAGGATATACGGAACTAACTTTAGCTGGAATGGAAAGGGGAAGCCTCCCCACGCCCCACTCCACCCCGCCCCCTATGGCTTCTTTTTATTCTTGGAAGAGGCAAGAGATCTACCAACAAGAGAATCAGAAAATGAAAACTGAAGTACAGTATCAAAAGAAGAGGGCCTTCAGAAATTCAGTGACCTACGGAGGGATAGCCTTGACTGAAAGTCCTCAAAGTGGAATACTGCCCCTGCTGGTGCGCATGTGAAAGGTCTTTGTATATCAACATGGAGTTGTATTTCGAGTGGCAGAGAACTCCACTGCCCAGGAGCTCCAGGCAGCACCCCTGCAGTAGGCGGCCACTGACGGCATTCTGAGTCTAAAGTTGTACAGAAGTCACCACTTTACACATCATTATAAAGATGCTTGATTTTAAGGGAACCGGTCAATCAAGAAAAATAATTTTATTATTTTGCTAAATATTACCGTTAAAGATCAAGAAATAACTCCTTTCCTGCGGGTTTGGTTCAGGGCTTTTGCCTTACAAACATCATTAATTTACAGCAGAATGAGGAGAGCATAGATACCTAACTTTTAAACAGTTACTGAGTTAAAAAGGGAGGAGTGATGTAATAAAAACATATTAAGATTATTTTTCTTCTGAGTTGTACTATAAAGTCTTTATGTAACTAAGTGGTTTATGTATCATTTTTGTAACACAAAAGCTGATTCCTTGAAGGATGAGACTGAGCCTTGTGCTTCTCCTACATAGACTTAAATATCACTTATTCGTTGTATGGAGTAAATCTGCTGCACAAGACCTCTTTAAATACTCAAAAGCAAGAATGTTACTTTGAGGACTCAGGTGCGCCTGACCTAAACCACGGTATTTTCAATAGGTTCACATGCATGTGAACAGTGGACACGGAATCAGGCAGACTGAAGATAAATCGATGCATATGAATTATGGTTTTGGCAAGGAATATTGAAAGTAACATGGGCTGCCAGAAGAAGAAACAGATCTGTCTTGAAAGAAGTGCGGCCCGAATGCTTCAGAGAGGTAAGGATGGCAAGACTTGTCTTAGGTACTTTGGACATGTTTTATCAGGAGAGACCAATCCCTGGATTGCTCGATAAAATGGAGGGGCAATGACAAAGAGGAAGGCCTTGACGAGACAGATGGACACAGTGGCTGCAAGAATGGGATCGAACATCATTTAGAACAGCACAGGACCGACTGGGTGGTGTTTCCTTCTGCTGCACACAGGGTCACAGAGAGTTACAACTGACTGACAGCACTAACAACACCTTTTCTGTTTTAGTTTTACACTCATAGGTCCGTCTTCTGCGATTTAATTTCAAAATCCTTCAACTACTAAAGCTGAGATGAAGCTATAATTTGAGAGTGTACACCAGCTGGTTATTTTATGATTCCCAAATAAAACTGATACAACAAACTTCCATGTTTTTATCTAATAATCTAGGAAAGTAACCCAATAATACTCTCTCATTATGGATTGTAAGTTCACCAGAAACAAATAAAGATGCATAATATTGATGGCACATTATTAATTCATTAAAGCAATCTATGAAATTCATCAAAAAATTTAAATATCTGCCCACTCGATAATAAACCTTACATGCCAAACAAAGAAATAGCAGTTTTTTAAAAAAGGAATACAATGATTTATCCCTATTCTATTTGGTGAAGTACATGACATTAAAGTTCCTATTACTTCAAGTAATTTGATCATTTAAAATAATGGCTTTAACTACTTGGACTTATAGTGTATTACTATGATGACATTGTTGCACAGGATAACATCTATACCTACAAAATTCTATTAAGGTGCAAGGGTTTTGGGTAATATAGTCAAAGGAATTAACTCTTAAGGAAATATGAAGGAAACAGGGCTTATGAAAAAAAATGGTGAAAATCAAATACATTTTGACTTACAATTAGCTGCTTCAATCCAACAAAAGACTGTTCTACTGAGTTGGCATTTAAAACTTGTCTCTTAGCGGCAGCTTGTTCACCCAGGAAGCGAAGCATTAAGTCTTTAACCGCATCTCCCTGGAAAGAATGTTAAGAAAACACGTCAAGAAAATAAAATGTCAATTACATTGTTAACCAGACCCTATACTCCAAACCATTGCTATTGAGTCGATTCCAACTCACAGCAACCCTGCATAGGGTTTCTAAGACTGTAAATCTTTATGGGAGTAGCCAGCCTCCTCTTTTTCCCTCAGAGTGGCTGGTGAGTTTAAACTGCCGACCTTGTGGTCACCAGCCCAATGCCAAACCCATAGGGCCCTTAACTGGAGCCCACACACTCAACAAACTCACTGCCATCCAATCAATTCATAATGTCTCTGTAGGACAGAGCAGAACTGGCCTTTTGGGTTTCTGAGGCTAATTTCCATGGGAGCTGAAAGCATTATCTTTCTCCTTGAGAGTGACCGGCAGGTTTGAACTGCTGACTGTCGTTTGTGGTCCAATATCTGTCACCAGGACTCCGCCAGAATCCGTATGTCACCAACATTGATTTTTTTGACTCCACTGACTTTAAAAAGGGAAGCAGTTATACTGTGGTAAAACTTCAATTAACTGGAAGCTAATTGTTATAATTATTAACAAGGCGCGTATCTTTTAGACTTGTTTTCTATTTTGAAGAGAAACAGGCTTTACCAGCTCCCGTTACCTGCAAAGGTAATGCTTTACAAAGTAAGAGGCAAAATGAAGTCGGCAGAGAAGCTTTAGGTGCTGAGCTTTACCGAGGAGCCCATCAGTTTGAGGTGACGATGTTGGGGGAAATAGGCTCATGGTATAAATGATGGCAGTGAAATGTGTGGGCATGGGCTCGTGCTGGATCTGCTCAAATCTCCCCAATTCACCAAGGCTGGCTAGACAGTTATGGAAACATTTATGGCCAAGGGCTAAAGCACCCAAGTTACCACTGTTATTCAGCTGTAAGCCTTCCTTTCAAATTCCAAGGTCACTGCCCAAACCCAAGCAAAATAACCCAAACCCCACACTAACTCAACTGCTCACTCACAGGGACCAAAAGGACAGGGTGAACTGTCCTGCGGGTTTCCGGACTGGGACTCTTTTCAGGAGCAGAAAGCCCAGTCTTTCTCTTGCCCAGTGACTGGTGGTTTATAACTGTTGACCTTGAGGATCCCAGAGCAATGCATAACCACTACTCCACCAGAGCTCCTTCTAAAGACTTCTTTCCCCCCCAGTATGTACTTTGTAAACTGCTCACTCCCAGGAGGTAGGAGGGGTACACTTTGTGTTGAAAGAGTAAGGATCACAGCTGCTTTGCAACAGGGCAACTTCTAGCTCAGAAAGTGACTCCGAATATAAGGATCTGGGTTATTACTGTGATGTACTATGGAGTCAATTCTGACCTGTAGGACCCCTATAAGACAGAGCAGAATGACTGCATAGGGTGGGTTTCCTTTATGGGCATCAATTTCAGGATTTTCTCCCACGGAGATACTGGTAGGTCCTAACAGATGACTTTTCCATGACCAGCCAAGCTCTAACCACTGTGCAACCGGAGCTGCTTGATCTGCAGCCAGAGGGAAGGAGCATTAAAAATGCAATTGGGAGTGCAGAGAAGAAAGAAGGTGATTTTTGGAGGCTAGGGAAAAGAGGAGATGTACCAATGACCTGGAACGCCCAGGGAAAAATCTCTTAAGCTGTTTGAAATCTGGGTATGCTCTGAAGATAGAAACCAAGGCTGTTAGCATTTATAAGAGAATATAAATCCCCACGGCTAAAGGAGAAAGGTAAAGCATGTCAGAGCTGGAATTTACCAATTTTAATGACATAAGGGAACAAGGCTCCCATCATGCTAATGCGCTAAGAAAGCTGTAAAGATGCACAGGCTTAAAGGTACTGTTTTGGAGGCTGTACCACAAGGTTGCAGGAGGAATCCTCAGAATAAGAGAACTGCTCTAAAGACTTCATGCATCTGAGTATTAACATGAAACATGGTTCACTAGGGCACCGTGCCCACTACCAAGTAGATAACCTGCCAAGGAGAAGTAGCAATGCATAAGCAATGAAGCAGTACTCCTAAAGGTGTTGATGCTCCCCGGGGAATGTGTCAGCGTGGCAAGAGGACAAAGATCTGCCGCATGAAGAGAGCTTGAAGTAAGTATCTCTCTCCCTTTTGACAGCGCCACTGCCCTTAGAAAGGTGCTGGGTTGGGGAGCAGCAGCTAAGCTTACTGAATGCAAGGTGACAGGGCTCAGAGGCAGCCAGAGTCAGCCTGACCTTCCTGTGACCCACAGCTCTGGGCCTCCAGCAGGGTATGCAGCTCTGCACCAGACCATCCTGGAGGACTGCTGACAGGGAAACAGAAGCACAAAAGCGCAGGGCTCCAGAAGTCCCTAGTGAGCCTCTGCGAGAACAAAAACTAGGACAACCTCAAGAGGGGGTGGAACAAAGCCCACATTTCTCTATCTCGGTTAGCAAAAAAGCCTGCCTTCTAACTATGGGAAAGCTAATGCGCTTACTGCAGGTGGACAATAGGAGAGCTAATGGTGACGGAGGATGAAGAAAAAAAATCAATGTGGAAATGTCTCCTGCATAGACCCAGTTCCTTTGCTATTGTTTTCCTATCCTTGTGGGGGAAATAAAAAAGCATCCAAGTAGGTCCACTTGTCAGAAAGGTTATTTCAATCTTTTGCTCTTTTCCCAAGCGGTGGCACTGAGGGGGAAAGGAAAGAGCGCAAGCACTATCTAGACCATGTGAGCAAGAGATGCAGAAAAGCTGCTGAAATCGTCGGCTTCTCCCTTTAAGCCAACACCCTTCTGCTGAGGAGGAAGAACTGACAGCCTGTGGCGGTAGGGATTCTGGTGGCTCTGGGTCACACATCTATTTCTTCCCCTGGGTGCAAAGGCTACGGCTTAAAGAGGCCAAATGGCATGTCTTCTTATATTGAGACAAAAATCTGGAAGCAGCAATTTTATAATTTTTGCTTTCAGGGAGTAAGGTGAAATATTTCAAATGCCAGAGCCACAAACACAGCTAACTGATCTAGAAGGGATAATTAAAGGGCAAAATAAAAAGAGTGCAGACATATGGCTCCATAAAGCTTTGCAAGAAGGCGACTTGTCTTAGACAAAGAGCATTATCTGAGCCAGAGGGGCAACAGAATAGGCAAAAGAGCAGAATCAAATCTTAATGCCAGCAAGGGAAGACCAATTTAATTCCTCCATCCTTGCAGCATTTCAATTAATTAGGCCACAGCGCAAAAATCTTTTGCTCTTAAAATTCCCTGTTAGTTAACATTTTAGTTACCAAGGCAGTTCCTGAGCCTGTATATGACTACAAAATACCATCTCGATGAAAGTCCAGAGATGTGACAAAAAAATGAAGGGAAATTTAACACTTGCCGTGTGACTAACTTGCAGTCAATTAACAGCAGTGTGGAATCATGCTTTCTTTTACTCCAAACCTACCAAGGGGTTAAGAGTGAGAACCTGTGAGTCTCTGCTTTGTTTTCCTTCCAGGGATTTTGAGATAGCTGTCTGTGCTGATGGGAGTCCCTGAGTACGCTCAGCTGCTAACTGAAAGGTTGTAAGCTCAAGTCTTGCCCGCTAAGTGCTTCGGAGTAAAGACCTGGCAATCTACTTAAAAAAAAAAAAAAAAACCAGCCATTGAAAATCCTGTTAAGTTCTATTATAACACACGTGGAGTTGCCTATGGATTGTGATAACAGTTGTATGAGCCCCTAATAAAATGTTAAAAAAAAATACTTAAAAAAAAAAAAAAAAAAAAAAACCAGGCCAAGGAAACCCCATGGAACACAGGTCTAGTCTGCCACAACTGGGGTCACGGTGAGTTGGAACTGACTTAAAGGCAGCTGGTTGTTACTGATGGTTTCCAGGGAGCTGGCTGCACAATGTATTTTGAACCCAATGTATTCCTTCAAACCAGCTGCACAATACATTTTGAATCCAATGCATTCCTTCAAATCAGCAAAACATTATTTGAAAACTTATGAGAGGATTGTGGGAAATTCTCTCACATTCTGGAGAATGACATTCTACCTCCTGGTTAGATGCAGTCATGGGAAGGCATGTGGCTGATTCATAGCTATTAGATGCAACACTGGAATAGTCTCAGTAGTTCCTCCTGAATTTTAATGGTGTAAGTCAAAACAGAACCAAAGCAGCTACTTCAAATATATGGTGAATCTAAGGTAGGAAGTGATGGTGGCAGTTTCACGTACAAGGCAGCAGAACTGCCCTAGTCCAAGAACACAACTCAGGCTTTCTGCCAAAGTTCTACAGATGGGACAAGCGTGGTATTCATCCTGGGAGACAAATATCTCCCAGGGAAAGTGACATCATCTGAACAAATACACAAAATAAAGACCCAAACGTCATTGTACATCATAAACACAATGTCACTGAGTTGTACTGTGAAGGCTATTGAAATGGTAACCTTTTGTTACCTACATAGTTACCACACCCACACACAAAAGATAAAACAGTAACAATAAAAACCCAAACTCGAGGATGAAGAAACACATTTACATTGCTGGTGGGAATGTAAAATGGTATTTCTATTTTGGAAAACAGTCTGATAATTCCCTAAAATGATACCACAGATTTATCATGTGAGCTGGCAATGCTATTTTACAACTGAATAAAAACACATGTAAAAATGTGTTAATGAAGGCTCATAGTAACATTATGTGTAATAGACAAAAGAGTAAAAACAATTTCAATGTCCATCAACTGATTTGTAGATAAATAAAATGTGGAATACTTAGCAATAAAAAGCAGAGTGTAGCTCAAGTACTCCCTCAATGCAAGAATACTTTGTTCTATTAAACTAGCATTCCATGATGCTCACCTTCCTGACACGATTGCTGGAGACAAATGGGTGCATAAGCAAATGTGGTGAAGAAAGCTGATGGTGCCCGGTTATCAAAAGATATAGCGTCTGGGGTCTTAGAGGCTTGAAGGTAAACAAGCGGCCATTTAGCTCAAAAGCAACAAAGCCCACATGGAAGAAGCACACCGGCCTGTGGGATCACGAGGTGTCGAAG